CGACATCACCCGGGAGGACTTGGAGAGCTGGTACGAGTGGTTCTATGGTGAGGACATCGGGGGCCGTTTTCCCCCGCCAGAGGACCACGTCCTGGCAATTGCCGAACGCAACGCATGGCGAAAGATTCACGAGAAGATGCATGAGGGCAACACCCTCAAGGCGGCCATGCTGTCGGTCAGGCAGGACACATTGTTCTGGACACGTGAGGTCTATGAGAAGATCAAGACCTTTTCCAGGGGCCGCCCATCAACCAGGACATCCATGGACTACGCACCACCTCAGAAGGGCAAGAACAAGTCCAAGGGCAAGGGGAAGCCCAAGGGCAAGCCTGGGAACAAAGGGAAGGGTAAGCCCCCCCACCTGAACAATCAGGCGTCCCGGGGCGGTAGCAAGCAGGCAGCCACCGACCCGAAAGGGAACCAGTTCTGTAACAACTGGATGCGCGGGCGCTGCCCGGGCAACTGCGGCCGCACCCACAAGTGCAACCTCATCCTGGCAATGGGCCGCATCTGCCTGGGGGACCACCTCCCGCAGGACTGCCCGGGTTGACTAGGGGCGCTGACCCCTACCCCCCGGGAGGCCTCAGGTGCCGAGGGCCCTGATAAGGCCCGGGGGGGCGAGAAGGGGCGCAAACGCCCCAAGCAGGCACAGAAGCCCCCTCCTGCAGGTGCCGAGGGCCCTGACACAGGGGGGGGACAGGCCAGGTGGCGGCCATCCTCGGCGGAACAAGGATGGGGACGGCAGAACCAGCGTGCACAACGCCCTCGCCGTGATCAGAACAGCCACACAACCGGCACAACGGCGGCGCCTCAGTCCCGAGCCACAGGTGCCGAGGGCCCTGATATGGCGGGGACGGGACGGTTCCCCGCAGGTGCCGAGGGCCCTGACACGGGGGGCCGCACCCAGAAGGCCCGAGTGCCGGATGACTGGCAGCACACCGCAACGCCAAGGGACACTCCCAGGAAGCAGCCGATCCCACTTCCGGCGCCCAACATCATCAAGCAGGACCCGGTGGTTTTCCACAAGAGCTCGGTGGGGCTGAATGAAGGGGGCCAACGCCTTTCAGCTACCCCCCTGACAAGTCCAACGGAGCCGTCACCGGGATTGGACATCTTCCCGTGGATGGAGAACATCCCTGAGCGTCTGGTACAGCGGTTGAGATGGACACAGGGCACATCGCCCAAAGTTCCATCCAGTGGGCCCATCATTGTCCTGCTCTATGCAGGCAAGGAGGACCCTACTTCCTTGGACAGCTGTCTTCATGCCAACTACCCACACCTTTCCAGCATGGTGGTGGCGGTAGACATCCTACGGTCTGGACCCAAGGGGGACCACGATATGCTCCAACCCGAGCTGTATGGAGCTCTTTGCACGGCAGCAAAGCAGGGCCGAGTGGTCTTCATTGGAGGAGGACCCAACTGCAGGACATGGTCCATCCTGCGCCACATACCAAAACCGGGGGCTCCCACCCCGGTGCGAGGGCGCACTCCAGAGACACTTTGGGGCCTTCCACACCTGGACCAGGCCGCCCAGACTCAACTTGATGATGACAGCATCCTCATTCTGAGACAGATGTACATCACCAGCCTGGCAAGGGCCTCACGAGCGGCGGTTTCTCTGCCAGGGCCCAGGTCCTTCCTGGAACACCCGGAGGACCCAGTGGTGAGCAGCTCGCTGCCCAAAGCCAAGGAATGCTCATCCTTCTGGATCACAGAGGAGGGGCAGCTTTGGATGGAGGAGAACTCCTTGACAGCAATCTCCTTCGACCAGTGCCGCCTGGGCCAGCTGGTCAAGAAGGCCACTACGCTGGCCACGGATCTCCCGATCCAGGACTGGGATCAAATGCGGTGCACGCATCAGTCACATGTGGGCACCAACGAGTCCTCGACTCTTAGCAGATACCCTTGGGATATGATGGCAGGCCTGGCCAAAGCCATCGCTGTGTCACTCGCAGCGCCGGGGCACATCCGGATCCCCTCACAATTTCCCCAAGGGACCACCTAAGGGGCGGGGGTCGGACCCCCCGGAAGGCCATTCCCCCCGGGAAAAACGGGGGCCCAGTCAAGGAGGCGGTCCCTCCTCATCACACCAGGGCTCAAAGACCGGAGGCAAGAACGCCCCGAAGCCCCGCCTGCACGGGCAGTTCCACCCTGAGGCAGACACCGTAAGCCCTCGTGGAACAATGAACCCAGACTTCCCATCTCCCATGCCCCCGATGGCCGGAGATGCGGAACAACTGGGGAAGGAGGGACAGGGGGACCAGGTCCTGGACCGCCCCGAATGCCTGCCCGCTTTCAGGGTCCCACACCTCACTGACCGGGTGGCGATTGTCCAATTGGGTTTCCGCTCACGCCCCCTGAGGGATGGGGGGGGAAAACCTTCCCCAGGGAGGCTCAACCCCCCTTTTCGGAGAATTTCCCCATTGGCTACTTTGGGCGCCCTGATCATGACCCTTACCCGGCCCTGGATTGACAAGGTCCGAATGTCCCTGGCATCAGGTGCCACCACACACCCCTTCCAGGAAGCCGACCTCGAGGAGCTGCGGGCTATCCTAGGACCGAGGCACCTCCATGAACGATGCCCAGGACAACCCTTCCTCCTGGACTTAGTGTCGCACTTGGCATCCCTTTCAGGTGACCCTGATTGGGAGTTCCCCCTAACACTGAAAGAGGGGGTCCCCTTGGGAGTCTCGGACCCTACCTTGACCTCCCCGGGAGTTTGGCCCACTAAGGAGGAGCTTAAGGGAGAAGCCTGGCTGGGGGAAGATCCCCCCCCGCCAGTGGCTCATGATAACTACCCAACGGCTGAACTCTTTGCCAAGGAAATCGAATCAACCTTTTACGAGGAACGAGCCTTGGACATGGTGGACGGGCCCTTCACTCGCTCCGAGGCGGCAGAGAGGTGCCGCTGCAAACCGGAGGAACTTTGCCCGGGCCCCCTTGCAGGGATTGATGAGTCGGACAAGATCAGGACGATCTATGATGGCTCAAAAGGGGGAGCAAACGCACACATCCAGGCTCACACGGAGGAGAAGACCACCGCACCGATGGTTGGAGACTGCCTCCATGCCATCCACTGGCTCAGGACAGCGGCGGACCATCCTCATCTACTCCGAGCCCCATCCTCGGGCACTGATGAGGAACCTCGGGATGTTCACCAGCCGGTGCAGGGGCAGTCCCCAGGTGCCGAGGGCCCTGAGAGGGACCCCCACAGCACCAGCCTGCCCCCAGGTGCCGAGGGCCCTGAGAGGGGCAGGCGGATGATGGAGACCTCAGGCGGCCTGGACGTCTCTCCGCGGTCAACACCCTCAGGGAAGGGGCCACTCCCAGGTGCCGAGGGCCCTGATCGGAGGGCCCCATTCCCCCCAACCCCCCCAGGCACGGAACGCCCGGGGGGGAGCAGGGGGGAACCCCTGACGTGGCAGCCGCCGACACAGGGGGAAACCTTCATCATCCTCAAGGCGGATGTCACCAAGGCCCACAGGCGCATAAAAGTGCTCCAGAAAGACTGGAAATACCAGGTGGCCTGCATCCAGAACCGGTGGTGGGTCAATAGAGTGGGCACGTACGGCATGGCCTCGGCACAACTGTACTGGGGAAGAAAGGCATCCTTGGTGCTCAGACTCTTGTACTACATCTTCCCTCAGGTGGACTGGCACTTAGTTTTTGTGGACGACTACTGCTGGGTCCTCAGATGCAGCAGGGCGGACTGGGACGCCACAGCCATCCTGGCCACTCTTCTGGCGCTGGGAGTCCCGCTTTCTTGGAAGAAGACGGCGCTCTCCCCGGTCAATACCTGGTTGGGATTCGTGGTGGACCCAATCACGCCCTGTGTGCTGCTGGCTCCAGTCAAGCACGTCATAATCCTGGCCACTCTCAAACGGCTGGCCCAGGGGGACATCTTTACCAGCAAGGAGGTGGAACAAGCCCTGGGCCGGATTCAATGGGCTACTTCGGCGTGTCCATTGACGAAACCTTTCCTCCAGCCCTTTTGGAGCTGGAAGAAGGCCTGCACCACTTCGGGCAGGCCACCGAAGCTGGTTCGTGCTCTGGCCATCCTTCTGGGGAAGCTCTTCAACCAGAGGTTCCCACTGGCATCTCCATTTGCTCCCACACTTCCATGGACGGGGGCATCTGATGCGGGAGCTGGCAAACAGGCGGACCATGCATGGGTTGGTGGTTGGTGCTCGGACGTGCCCAACCCCGACAAGTCCCGAGTGAAGTGGTTCCAACACAGAATCACACCGGAGGGCGAGCCGTGGGCCTTCACTACTGGGGACCCGCAGCGGGCGATAGCGGCCTTGGAGCTCTTCGGCCTCCTCCTTTTGGTGAGGGCTGTTCTGCTTTGTGCAGCCGGCTCGGCTTCTCACACTAGGATTCTGGTTGCTAGTGATAACCAGGGAAACGTTTTCTCCCTGCTTAACGATTCCACTCGCAGGATGCCCAATGCGGCCATCCTCATGGAAATTGTGTTAACACTGCATGACCACCAGGTCATGTTAGGACCGTCGCATGTGAAGCGCGACTTTAACACATGGGCGGATGAACTTACTCATCCGGACCCGCAATTTCCGACTGAGAACCGGGTCTTCCCCTCAGTCGAAAGCGAATTGATCAAGCTGATCTTCGCTACTTTCCTTCCTCACCCATGATGCCGGGAGGGCATCCGGTGAGGTGGGAGGATTCCTCCCTCGCTGTGGGAGTGGCATCAATTCTACTCCCATCAGCTGCTGAGGGGAGCTGCCCAGTGGAGCTGGGCAATCCTCCCATTTTGGCACTAATCCTTATGCGGCGTAAAGGATGCACCGTTCGCGATTAAGGTACCAGTAGCACCAATGTGGTGCTTTGAAGAGTCTGTCCGATATTCATTGCTATGTCCTGTTCACTTTACCAACCCAGGTCTTCAACCACCATACCTGCTAATCTTCCATAACTCCCTATATCCCGGTCTCTGTAGGATTTCGACAAATTTCTTGCAATCGGTCCGGTTGCGCGCGCAGGAGATCGTCAAGGCCTTGGACAAGAAGACCTTGGCCGCGCTGCACAAGGTGGTGACGGAGGTCTCCGCGGGCGCTGAGGCGGAGAAGCAAGCGGCCACCAAGGCCAAGCGGGACGCGGATCCGGAGCTCGATTCAGAAGGCGCGGGGGGAAAATCTGTGTCGATGCATTCTTGGTGGTTCCGAGCCATCCGGTTGCTTGGCCTTTTCGTGTTTGTGGTAGTTTGAAATTTTAACCCACTAACAGTTGAACTTTTAGCGGGGGATCTGAGGGCAGCCCAGTAGTCATTTATTTTGGTGGCGAAGGTGTTCTAAAACCCAAAGCCGGGTTTTGCCTGTAAACCTTGGGCAACATGATATTTTGAACCAGTATTTCAATTTTCTCATGAAGTATTGTTGGCAACACACACCTGAAAGCAAGAGGGCTTGAGCTCGCCCTGATAGCGTGTCCCAAAAAAAGAGGGGTGTGCGACATTTCTTTCGTTAGGTTTTACGCAGATTGTTGATAGGTGTTTGGCTTCCAAGAAAAGACGCGAAACTTGGGGACGATCGCCGTGGTCCTGGGAATCACCTCCAGGCCATCGAGGAAGCTGGTGACAACATGCGACGGGCACCTTTCACTTGCTTGGACCACAGAGGATGTGCCCAAGGTTCTGGAGGAAGCTGGCCTCAGGGGCAAGTGTCCGGAGGGTTTGAACGGCAAGCAGTTGGTCTTGGAGGATGTCTTCCCTGGAAAAGAAGATCAGGAGATGGGAGCCCATGGGGGTTGCAGAGCAAAATCCACTTGGGTTTCACCGGCCCACTAGTAGCCGGACCAAGCTTTAACATCTTCAACATGGAAAAGTGTAGTTCAAGACTCCACCAACCAAGTCTTGAAGAGGTTGCTTCTCGCAGGAGACTTGGGACTTCATGCTCGGACATGTTTCTTACCGTTGGTTGGAAGATCAACACCATTCAAAGAAGCCCTTCACTCCTCCCAGCGCCGTATGTGACCACTATGTCTTCAAGTGGGATGCGGCCAAGACCAATGCGTTCTTGAAGAAGATCGGCTTGCCGGAGTATGGTAGCTGGGTGGTTTTGAAGCCCCACAAAGACCAGGTCCGTGGTTTTGTCAACTCGCCTCCTTGAATTGTAACCCCTTCCAATCTTATGGGGTTCCGGGCGGTGTTTCACCGAGGTCTCGATGGTGCCACTTTGATGAAGATGTTGGTGCAGGACACCTACTCGGAGATGCAGAAGGAGAAGCTGATGCAGGGTCTGAAGGCTGAGGTGGTACTCTTCATGGAGGAGGTCTCCAAGCTCCTGTGAGGCCAATGGCCAGCCTCCAAAGTCGGTAGCGTGTCAGGCTCACTTCTTGTGTCACACCCCCAGCGCGTACTGGTTCATCCCACGCTGGTTCAGTACTTCAACACGCACAGCAGCAGCATCCCACTCACTCCTCACTCTGCTCACTTGAATGTTTCACGACTTTGGCACGCGCCGCTGTGTGTTCACTCAGAACACACCATGGGCTCATCCCACTCAATTCGCTGCTGCTGCATGGGCTCTCTCTGCTTTGCGGAAGTTCCAGCAGTCGCTAAATGCGTGGTCGATTCGGCTGAGAGTCACCTAACCTTGGCCAATCGCTTTCACCTAAACTGTCAAAAACTCACCACTTTGCCCATGGCAGTGGTGCCCCACATCGGCTGGATCAAAAGCTGACCTCAAAGGGGAATGCCGGCATGGGACGGTTTTAATGGAGGGGCAGTTTAGGGGCTCAGGAGTTTTCGAGTTCGAAAAGACCTGCGCATTTTAATTTCCAACTCACCACAAACAAGCCGAGTCAGAGGGCTTTTAGGATTTGGTTCCTTCTGAGAAAGCCAGCACAGATCATCCTCACATGGAGGAAGGGAAGGCCAAACAAGACAGGACTGAAATTTGTGGATCCCCCAATCCCCTACCAGAGGTTGGTTTTCTGGCTTGCCTGGGGCAAAAAAAGAATCCTTTGACCTTCTTCAAAGGCCCAGGACGCCCCCGTTTAGAGGTCGGGGGTCTGGGGGTGAGGGCATGACCAGAAGTCGTTGATTTACGTCCTCAAGCGTCCGTATGTGTCCGCGTGTGTTCGCGCACGCAGGTTGAGTGGGGAACGTTTTTCGTGCCCCTGTGCGGGAATCGTAGCTCTTAGCATGTCAGATGTTGTTTTGCTGCGCAGGCGCAGTGTGTTGTGAAGGCTCACTTTTGCGTTGCAAATCCATTGTGATTTGCGTTTCAGGGGTCGTCGTTTTGAGGTGTTTTGCTTGGAATGCGCGCGCAAGTGTTTCCTCGAATGTCGCTGCAGATTTGCAAGAAATCGGTCGAAATCATTCTGGCGCTGCAGTCCCGCGCTAGTTTTCCGCGTGCGATGCGAGAGTGTCAAACTCTGATTTCGTGGCAGGCGCAGCATTTTACACGTTTTGCGTGTTGCTGTAACGTGATTTCTCGTGACAGGCGCAGCACTTTAAGAGCTTTGCGTGCTGATTTCGTGGCAGGCGCAGCACTTTAGAGCTTTTCGTGCAGATTTCATGGCAAGTGCAGTACTTTCCAGCTTGCGCACCGATTTCGTGGCAGGCGCAGCACTTTCATGGGTCGAGTCGCTCTTGCAGCTGCGCGGCGCGCATTTGGAGATTGCAAAGTGACATTTTCAGATCGCAAAGTGAACCCTTTGCGTTCTTTCGGTGGGACGAATCGCTCTCGCTGTGGCGCCGCTCACATTTTAAGATTGCAAAGTGAACCCTCTGCGCACTTTGGGCGGGTCGAGTCGCTCTCGCTGTGGCGCGGTGCGCAGTTTGAGCTCGGAAGGAGAAACGCGAGTAGGGTCGTGCGAGACATGAGAAAGACCACGAAAGACAGGACGGGAGATGTGACGGAGTCGTGATGTGAGGCGCGTCGAGACACATTATGTTCATGAAAGTTATGACGAGAGGAGGGACCAAAGCTGTTACGACGGACGTGACAAAGGACGTGACCAAAGACGTGACAAGAGACGTGACCGGAGGCGTGGCGATGGATGTGACAAGAGGAGAGCCGTGACGAGAGACGTGACGAGGATCGTGACGCGAGAGGTTACCAGAGACGGGACGGCAAATATGACAAGAGACGTGTGAGAAGAGACGTGGCGAGGGTCGTGACAAGAGACGCACATTGGATGGGTTGAATCGCCTTCGCCGTGGTGCGGAGCACATCTTAAGATCGCGAAGTCGTGGCGAAACACGTGACGAGAGAAATGCGGGTAGGGTCGTGACTAGAGACATGACAAAGACCACAAAAGACAGGACGGGAGATGTGGCGGAGTCGTGACGTGAGGCGCGTCGAGACACATGACGAGAGTTGTGATGAAAGTTATGACGAGAGACGGGACCAGAGTTGTTATGACGGACGTGACCAAAGGCGTGACAAGAGACTTGACCAGAGGCGTGGCGATGGATGTGACAAGAGGAGAGCCCTGACGAGAGACGTGACAAAGATCGTGACGCGAAAGGTTATCAGAGACGGGACGGCAAATATGACAAGAGACGTGTGAGAAGAGACGTGGCGAGGGTCGTGACAAGAGACGCACATTTTGAGATCGCACAGTGACACGTTGGATGGGTTGAATCGCACGTTGGATGGGTTGAATCGCTTTCGTCGTGGTGCGGAGATTTTAAGATCGCGATGTTGTGACGAAACACGTGACGAGAGAAATGACCTTCCCTGGAAAATTTCCCACGAAAAGGCTGACAAATCGGACTTAGGAAGATCCAGGTATGACAAGGGACGTGTGAGAAGAGACGTGGCGAGGGTTGTGACAAGAGACGTGACCGGAGACGTGACGCGAGGGGCGACGACGCACGCGACAAGATCGCTAAGAAAGACGTGACAGGAGATGCTACGCAGTCGCGACAAGAGGCGCGTCGAGACACGTGATGAAAGATGAAAGACGTGACGGGAGATGCTACGTAGTCGCGGCGAGAGGCGCGTCGAGACGCGTGATGAAAGACGCGATGAAAGTCATGACGAGAGACGTGGCCAGAGTTGTTACGGCAGACGTGACGTGACCAAAGACGTGCCAGAGGCGTGACGATGGATGTGCTGGATGTGACAAGAGACGTGCGAGGAGAGTCGCGACAAGACACGAGACAACGCGTGACCAGAGACGTTGACGAGAGATGCGACAAGAGGCGCGACGAGCATCGTGATGCGAGAGGTTGCCAGAGATGGGACGGCAAATGTGACAAGAGACGTGTGAGAATAGACGCGGCGAGGGTTGTGACCAGAGAAGTGACCAGAGACGTGACGCGAGGGGCGACGACGCACGTGACAGGAGACGTCTCCAAGAAAGATGTGGCGCGTCGAGACGCGTGATGAAAGACGCGATGAAAGTCATGACGAGAGACGTGGCCAGAGTTGTTACGGCAGACGTGACGTGACCAAAGACGTGACCAGAGGCGTGACGATGGATGTGATGGATGTGACAAGAGACGTGCGAGGAGAGTCGCGACGAGACACGAGACAAGGGGTTACCAGAGATGTTGACGAGAGATGCGACAAGAGGCGTGACGAGGATCGTGGTGCGAGAGGTTACCAGAGATGGGACGGCAAATGTGACAAGAGACGTGTGAGAAGAGACGCGGCGAGGGTTGTGACCAGAGACGTGACGCGAGGGGCGACGACGCACGTGACAGGAGACGTCTCCAAGAAAGACGTGACGGGAGATGCCTCGTAGTCGCGACGAGAGGCGCCTCGAGACACGTAATGAAAGATGTGATGATTCTGATGAAAGATGTGATGAAAGTCATGACGAGAGATGACGAGAGACGTGGCCAGAGTTGTTACAAGAGACCTGTCAAGGGACGTGACCAAAAGCGTGACTAGCTACGTGACGATAGATGTTGCTACGTGAGACGCGACAAAGGACGTGACCAAAGACGTGACTAAGAGCCGTGACCAGGAAGAAAAGAGAGACGTGACAAGAGACGCTGTTACGAGAAACCTGACAAGGGGCATGACCAGAGACGTGACTCGAGACGCCATGATGACGAGAGACGGGACTAGAGTTGTTACAACGGACGTGACCAAAGACGTGACAAGAGACGTCGGAGAGCCGTGACGAGAGACATGACGAGGATCGTGACGCGAGAGGTTACCAGAGACGGGACGGCAAATGTGACAAGAGACGTGGCGAGGGTGGTGACAAGAGACGCACATTTTCAGATCGCGCAGTGAGACTTTGGATGGGTTGAATCGCTTTCGCCGTGGTGCGGAGTACATTTGACGATCGCGGAAACACGTGACGAGAGAAATGCGAGTAGGGTCGTGGCTAGAGAGATGAGAAAGACCACGAAGGACAGGACGGGAGATGTGACGGAGTCGTGACGTGAGGCGCGTTGAGACACATGATGAGAAATGTGATAAAAGCCAGAGTTGTTATGACAGACGTGACAAAGGACGTGAGCAAAGACGTGTGAGAGACGTGACGAGGATCGTGACGCGAGAGGTTTATACCAGAGACGGGACGGCAAACACCTAGAACACCCGGAGTGGAGAATTTTAGTCGTTCCCATCAAAACATGTTTTTCCTTCAAAAAGCGCCCTTGTGGGACACCTGCCTGGAACAGGGTTCGGCAAAAAACGCCTTCGTGTCGCCAAGAAGCGCGTCGAGACACGTGATGAAAGATGCGTCAAAGTCATGACGAGAGACGTGGCCACAGTTGTTACGACACACGTGACGTGACCAAAGATGTGACCAGAGACGTGCGAGGAGAGTCGCGACGAGACACGAGATAGGCGTGACCAGAGACGCGTGGCGAGAGAGATGCGATAAGAGGCGTGACGAGGATCGTGATGCGAGAGGTTATACCAGAGACGGGACGGCAAATATGACAAGAGACGCGTGAGAAGAGACGCGGCGAGGATCGTGACCAGAGGCGTGACCAGAGACGTGACGCGAGGGGCGTCGAGGGGCGACGACGCACGTGACAGGAGACGTCTCCAAGAAAGACGTGACGGGAGATGCCACGTAGTCGCGACGAGAGGCGCCTCGAGACACGTGATGAAAGATGTGATGATGAAGGATGTGATGAAAGCAAGTCATGTCGAGAGACGTGGCCAGAGTTGTTACAAGAGACCTGTCAAGGGACGTGACCAAAAGCGTGACTAGCTACGTGACGATAGATGTTGCTACGTGAGACGCGACAAAGGGCGTGACCAAAGACGTGACTAAGAGACGTGACTAGGAAAAAAAGAGAGACGTGACGAGAGACGCTGTTATGAGAAACCTGACAAGGGGCATGACCAGAGACGTGACTCGAGACGCCAGCAGAGACGTGAGTATACACAAAAAAAGGCATAGCCAAATTTTTACGTGGCGATAAAGGTCATGTGTGAGGAGAGACGTGACGAGATGGACCAGAGGTGACGAGAGATGTGACAGGAGACGTGTGAAAACAGACGCGCCGAGGGTTGTGACGAGAGACGTGACCAGAGACGTGACGCGAGGGCCGACAACTCATGCGTAACAAGAGACGTGACGAGAGTCGCCAAGAAAGACGCGGCGGGAAACACGACGGAGTCGTGACGACAGGCACGGCGAGACACGTGATAAAAGACCAGAGACGCGACGCCAGGGGTGACGACTAACCTGACAAGAGACATGACGGGTCGCCAAGAAAGACGTGGGAGACGTGACAGAGTCGAGACGAGAGGCGCGGCGAGACGCATGATGAAAGGCTTGACGAAAGTCATGATGAGAGACGTGGCAAATGACGTGACCAAAGGCGTGACTAGGGACGTGACCGGAGACGTGACCGGAGACGTGACTATAGAATCGTGACTAGAGTCGCGACGCGAGATGTGACAAGAGTCCGCTTTCGCGTCCGCATTCGGGTTCGTGGCTTCTATCAGATTTCAGGATGTCGTCGTTTGCCTCAAAATGAGGGTTGCCCGGAAAACTTCCCACTTCCCCTCAACTCGACCACTTCCCTCACTTCCCCACTCGACCACTTACCCGCCCAGAGATTCTACAACTTCCCCTTTTCGTCGACTCGACTCGACTCCCCTTGAAAGAGAGAGAGAGGTGCCCTTGGGTTTGTTATCCAACCATCACCACAACAACCCGAGGCAAGGCGCCCGGGTCGCCGAAGAAGATGCCGTCCGCGTCCGCGACGGCGACGGATGAGGCCCTGCTGCGGCAGGGCAAGGCGCTGCTGGCGAAGTTGGAGTAGGGCTCCAAGGACGCCAAGGGTTTCTGAGATCCCCACCCTCTTTAAAAAACGGAATTGGGGGAGGGGGGCGAATGCTGGAATTCGTTCCATCTCCCCTTTTGTTGGGAAGACTAGCTAAATGGAATTGGGGGGCCCCCCACAGCCATCCCCCCTACAGCAGGGGGATGTTCTGTGTTGGAAGCGGGGGGGGGCAAGGGCTTGAATGTGATGCCATATGCCAATGGTGTTTGCAAAGGGCTCATTGGGGTGGAGGGGAAAAGTGTGGGTCTTGGATTCTTGGATGCTTTACCGGTAAGCACAAGCTCATCGGAGAAGTTGCGTGTAATGAGATGGCACTCAAGTCTCCATGGCCCTTCTGGCACCCACTCAAGTGAGCCAGGGCCTCGAATTTAAAGTGATAAGAACATGTAAGGGAATAGAATACTCTTCTGAACTTGTTTGTGCAAAGGGCGAGCCTTGAGATCTTCGTTCCATCGCAGGAGAAGGCTCCGATCTTCAGGCTCGTCCGGAGGGATGGGAACTGGTTCCTGGCATTTCCTGGCGTTTCTGATTCAGAGGAATCCAGCGGACCCATTTGCCAGCTCCACAACTCGTGAAGTTTGGGGGTGGGATCAAGCATGTATGCTAGCAGTGCTTTGCGGTAGAAAGCCTGTGACATTGTCGCGGAAATGATCACCTTCCTGGAACGAGTGCGAATCTATTTAGACATGCTGTTGCCGCAAGGCATGTGTGGATTCGCGTCTTCCCCTGGAGGCCTCATGAACCGACCGGCTGGATCTGATCCTGTGGCCATGCCTTGACCAGAATGCAATCCGCAAGCCTTTGGCAAGTCAAAGGGATGCATGGCTTTCTATTTGTCCGTGATGTCTAGGTGAGAAAATTGTGGTTCGCCTTTGGGAACAACATGAGCACTGAGCACAGTGGAACAACGCACACAGACAATGCCGGTCTTCAAAACATGTCGGGGGAGCAGCTACCTTGCAGCGAGTATGCAGTGAGCACAACCAAAGCTCGGTTGAACGCACACAGATGTACATTCCATGGACGGATTGCATCCACGCTTCAACTGAACATACTTAAGTTTATAGTTGGCCAAATCCGCCCCGTCAAGTAGAACGTGTCTGCAAGGATTCCACTGGAGAAAAGGGCGGCGGGCGATGGTGGCTTGGTGTCCTTGCCACTGAGATTTCTTGCCTTGGCCCCCGTTATGAAAGATGCAGGGCCCATGTTGCAAAACCCTGCTTCACGAGCACCCATTCTCGACAAGAAGGAGGCAAGACGCAAGCCCTAACACACGTGTTGTTACGCATGTCGCCTTTTTGCAGGGCCTTTCGAAGGGGACCAGCCAAAAGGTCACCATGAGTGTTTTGCAAAGGAAGCATGTCTTGATGTTTTACTTGGACAGGCTAGTCATCCGACCCGTTGCCTAGACAAACTTGGGCATTTCAAGAATTCGACATTTGTGGGTGTGTTCGAGACTTGGGCAGCAGCTTTGCTGCAATCCCCGATTTTGTTCTTCATGCACCCTTCAAACCAAGCTCCGTTTCATGCCCAGTTTCGCGCACTTTGCCTTTAGCTTATTCTAGCTTCTCAACCTGCCTTCCATCGGCTCATGTACTGAACAGTTGACCAAATTGCACACATGAAGCGGGGTATGTGTTACCTTTTAGTTGGTGCACTGCATGGATCGAGTACCCTTGTGAATTGATGAAGAGCACACAATCATACTTGCATGGTGTGTGCTGTGTGGACCGTACTTTGGCTCTTGCACTCGCAGGCAGCTCGCAGAAAGCAAAAGGCTCGAACCAGTTCTCCGTTAGACTTGCATTCATTCCAGGAGTCGGCGGCCGACCGTGCAGCCTGCAGCGTGTGACATCTCGAGGCACAGAGATGAATTCATGGGCCATGGGCAGATCATCACGGCTCCATGGCCAAAGATGGGTTGATCCTCGAGTTTTGCACCAACTTGTTCCTGGATTTGTGTAGCATTCGTCATACTTTGGGGCAGTGGCAGCTGCGTAACAGACATGTGCCTTTGTGGATGCCGGATGGATGGCAAGCTTGGCTGACCAGACGCTTGGCTTGCAAAGAGCACAGGTGACTCCCGTCTAACAGCCACTTGCGAAATTTGGTGATTAGGATTGGCTGTTTTGGCATGTTCCAGGGGTGTCTCCTTTCGTGTCATCAATCGCCAGGGGCTCAGATCCTCCAACTGCTTCAAACCGCCAAAGAAGCGGAATCGGATTTCTGTTTGTCAAGGAAAATGCATATCAGCCAGTTGGAAGGGGCTGGTCCGTGGTGAAGGGAGTGATACGGGAGTGAACCACATGGAGGGGTCCCTACTTTCGAGAAACTAAAATGGTGCCAGCAAACAACTGCGTTTCCCATTTCTGCCCCTCCCCCCCACCCACCCCCACACTTTTGAGCTCATCCACCCCCCCCGACAGCAGCATCAGCAGCAGCAACAGAAGCATAACGTTGAATTTCCAATCCGCTCAGTTTTCGGGGGTCCTTGTTCCCTTTACCCCGCAAAAGGAGGTTGGCTTCTTAAGCTTGCCAGCCAGGATGATATTGTCGCCCACACAGGCCAATGGCTATCCCAATGTGTTCATGTAGCCTTTACTGTGACCTTGGTTCCATTTTTCATCCCATCACAGCACGCACGCCTTACACAATGCGTAAATGATTGAAGTTCAAGCGGTGCTTGTCAACATGATGGACCCTTTCGTATGGCTTTGACAGTTTTTTAGGGGAACCCCCCTCTGGAGTTCGCCCAGTTGATCCCAGTGTCCAGCACGCTGCAGGCGGTGCTTTTTGCCCCTGGACCTCGCCTTCAGCTTCCTGGCCTGGCGGGATTTGGTGCCAGCTTCCGCAGTGAGCCCTGCGCCTTGGGCGCGGAAGGTGGGGTTAGACTTCGCTTGGTCACCCTTAGCACGTCGTATAGGCTCTGGGCGCCGGACCCTTGAGGGTGCGTTTGCCTGGGGACCGGTGTCCACACACCATTCTGGGTGCTTCAACCATTGACAATCCGCTACTCGCCAAGTGCCGCGCCGACCGCCGCTCGCTGAATGAGGCCTTCCTCCGAGCACAGGCAGGGGCGCTCTGTTGCTGCAGCCTTGCAGGGCCCGTCACCGCCTTGCCCTGCAGCGATGGCGCGCTGCGGTGGCACCCTGGCGCAGAAAAGGGGAACCGAACGCGAGACTGACGTCACGTCCAAAGAGGATGCGGGGGTGTCGCGGCTGAGAATGGATACTTCATTCCTTCGACGGGATCTGACCCTTTTCCGGTTGTTCGTTAGCACCCTTGAACCCTTAGGTTTTGCGCGTTCCCAGGGTAAAACTGGTCAACAGCAAAGCGTCATTATTTTGTTTTAGCAAAATTTCAGGGCAGGCCCGCTTTTGGCAACAGCCTTTGGTCAAATCAGCACTGCTCCACCTTTGGGAACGGGGGGTGGCACACTTAAACAAACAAGCTTGTTTGTGAATTGTTTTATGCATCATGGCTGGAGTCCTCCAGGACGTTTTGCTCGGCGGGTGACATGCGTCTGACACCATCATGTCATTCAGACGGCTGGGTTGATCTTGTCGGTTTTGTGCAAGTCTTGAAGGGGCATGCTTTTGCGTGTATGTGAGGCCATTTCCGCCCACTATTTCGTGCGCTGCTCTCCTTGGCCAGTTCTTTCCCAGCATTTTTGCAAGAACTTCCACGTGACATGTGTTCGTCCTTGATCCCGTTTTCAGAAAAACACCCTCAACCCCTGAGGCTGGCGCGGCGGGCAGCCTGTGGGGTGAGCCCAGGCAGGCGAAGACATTCTCCGGTTTGGCCTTTCAACTTGTGGGGCAGAGAAGTAGAGGGACCCTTCACAACCAACCCAAAGTTTTGTCCCACTGAAAAAGAACCCAGGGGTTCTGTCCCAAAAGGCCGCCAAGTGGTGGGCTGGGAGTTTTGTTTTGTTGACGCAAGCGCCTTTTGCGCAGGGTTTCTCAATTGCTATACCTGTCGAGTATCATGCTCATAAGATCCTCCAAAGCCGGAAAACGCTTTGTTCAGTGGTTCAGAACGGCCAACCTCTATCCTTCACCGGTCTGTCGCAGGAGTCGAATTCCTGAAGATCAGCCGCCTGTCAGATGGTGCATGGCGTGAACGGGGTGCAACGGAGTTTTTAGACCACTGTGCAATGGAATCCTTAAGGACCCCTCTGTGAGGCCTGATCCTGTTGCCCATTTCCGCAGAGGCCAGACATGGCTCCAGTGGCTGAGTGTCGGAACCTGCACTCGTTCCTGCATGCTGTGCCTTTCTCAGTCGCGCCCACACCAAGCCAACTTCCTATGCTGAGGCGCTACGGCCTGCCGGCACACGGACGCAGGAGCACTGGCGGTGTCTACCGCAGCTCGCACCTGGAGGAAGCTTCCGAATCCCGCAGGTGGATATGATTTTTGGGGTAAAACTACAACAATCTCACCTACACAGGGCGTACACAAGCTTACTTTTGTGGTGGGTCCCTGAATTCCACTTCAATGTGTTCATACTGCAATTTGCACAGGATGCGTTTCAAGCGCGGAACCGAGTAGTGGCTGCATAAATCCCATGTAAATGCTGTCGACCAGACATATCGCACAATTCATGCCCAGGTGGGTGAAGGGATCCCTCTTGCGTGACTGGTGGCATCTTCAGGGTTGCCCCACTCATTTGGCTTACTTTGGGCCGGATCCCTTCTGTTCTTTGCGGGAAAAGGGGCCGCGGCGTTGCCTTTTACCAACAGCTATTTGATGTTTGCGGTTTAACAGAACGGCCTGACTGATTAGAGTTAGGGTCGCGGGGTTGTTTAAAGTCATATATATATATATAGCCGTGCTCATGAGATAATGACGTGTCACAATAGTTCAGGCTCGTGCATTACGATTTCCCTCCGCTTGGCGCTGGCTGCCTGCCAAGGTGCAAGCAAATCTGCTTGCGCAGCTATGAGCACACGAGGGTTTAAACGGCCCTTTCGTAGAGGTCCCTTCTTGTGGGGACTCCTCAATTGGCGCGCGATAGGTGCAAACTATGGATCATTAGATCGTGAAAGGCCTTCTCCACAACTAGTGGCGCCTCAAGAGAATGTGATGGACTGTGAGCATAGGTGTCGTTTTTAGGTTAGTTTGGTTGAAAATAAAAGGCACTGGTTTAGGTGGGTTTTGTTCCATTTGCCAGGGCCGTCTATTTTTCCAGCAGGACACCTATGACTGTGAGTCTTTGTCAGGGGGCACAGTTCCGTGGCCAACTGGAAGTGGAAGAGATCATACTTGCCAGAGACGGCAAGCGGGTTTCTTGAGAGCGAGCAGCCACATTGCAAAATTACAGCTCTCCAGCCGAGAAATCTACATACGACATATGAGCAATGGACAATGATGTTACTGGGGAATCGGTTTTGAGTAAATTAGTCCTGTATCAGGTTTGCAGGTTGCTAGGTCTCGGCTTTGGCTAAGTCCCGACCGGCTTATGGTAACCTATGGTCGGTCACTCTGTTGTGCCCTGCCCCCTTTGAGCGCAGAGTGGACTTTTGGACAAAGAGTGGGAAGGCACTTTTCCTTTCACAAATAAACATGACGTCGTCCAGCACATTTGCGATTCGCCAGGCCCCACAAAAGTTGCGCCAAGGCAACAGGGGTTTGTCTCCTTTGGACATACCATTTCCCTTGAACACAGGAAGGGGGCTTGATGAATTTGCATTCATCGGGCATGCGCTTGCAAAGGGAATCCTTGAGCGGAAGATGCACTGCAGGTGTAACAAGTTGCCCCTTAAAACGTTTGGCCTCGTGCCCAGATGAGTAGGCTCACTACAATGCATTGGTTGTAGACTGATGCAACCCTCGCAGTGCTGAGACCTGAGGTATGCGAGCCTTTGAGAGTTCTTCACTTCCACAGCAAGGCACGCACTTGTGGCAGAAAGCAGAAGTTAGAAAGCGGCATTACCAGCAAAAAGCAGGGTTGACGTTTGCGAGACAACTTGGCTCGAGCCCTAAAAAATTTAGTTGCCGTTGACACCCTTTGTCCAGCTTGGATGAAGCCAATAAAGCACTGTCCTTTTCTCAACACCACTGGGCAAGTATGAATAAAGGGCCCATTGCCGAGTGAGTTGAATTTTTGTGACAGTACCTTGAGACGGTTCGTTTCACCCTGGGATAGCCTGCTGGTAACGCAGCTTTCGCCCAAATATGAGAAGGCTTTGCTCGGGCTATCCAATCGGCGCATCGAGGGCTCCTTGAGAACATGGCTTCCAAACATGTAGGCTTTGAAGCCAATGCTCTGGCAAAAAGCCCTCTGAGAGAATGTGCGATTCGCTTTCGATTTCTCAAGGTGATTCCCCAAAGGGCACCGGGGCCTCCTCAAAAGGATGCCGATTCAGCGTACTTCTGCCCCGTCAGCACCTCAGGTTGCGCTGCGTGAGAGCTCGGCCACTTTGTCGCCCAGGGGATTGCAGGCAAGGGCCGGGATGGTTGCCTGTAGTCTTTGGCATGCTGAGATGGGTCTGCAACTTGGGAGCGTCGGGGTATCAAATGAAACCACCCCAGGATACCTTGCACACAAAATGGCGTCTCGAAAATGACCCCCCCCCCCTCCATGTTTTCCTTTTGAACAGGCCCTGTTTTAGGTGCAATCCTTGGTGGTGAGGCGCTTTTGGGCTCTGGGCGCCCTGCACTGCTTCGAGCTGTGCTCCATGGGGACGCGGCCGCCTGGCAGATTTGGGGTCTGACCGGTGTGAAGTAAAACAAGTGGAAGCCCCTTGTGGAGGGTGAAAGGCTTGGCTGTTCAAAGGTAATCCGTATTCCTTCTTTTCGGATACGCAAGGGGTCCCTTTCGTAGTGGTTTCCCTTTAAGGATTCTGCATATGATTAGGATTGGCCAACCCTCCATTTTGAACAGCCCAGAAAGGCAGCTGAAAAGGAAAGAGCGGGATGTTTTTTCCCCGAAAGCATCGCGAAGGGTTCTTCCGTGCGGAGCCCTTGGACAAGTTACACAGAGCCAAGTTGCACAGAGCCAAGTTAGAGCCAAGTTACATAGAGCCAAGTTACATAGAGCCAAGTTACATAGAGCCAAGTTACATAGAGCCAAGTTACATAGAGCCAAGTTAGCCATAGAGCCAAGTTACATAGAGCCAAGTTACATAGAGCCAAGTTACATAGAGCCAAGTTACATAGAGCCAAGTTACATAGAGCCAAGTTACATAGAGCCAAGTTACATAGAGCCAAGCCAAGTTACATAGAGCCAAGTTACATAGAGCCAAGTTACATAGAGCCAGAGCCAAGTTACATAGAGCCAAGTTACATAGAGCCAAGTTACATAGAGCCAAGTTACATAGAGCCAAGTTACATAGAGCCAAGTTACATAGAGCCAAGTTACATAGAGCCAAGTTACATAGAGCCAAGTTACATAGAGCCAAGTTACATAGAGCCAAGTTACATAGAGCCAAGTTACATAGAGCCAAGTTACATAGAGCCAAGTTACATAGAGCCAAGTTACATAGAGCCAAGTTACATAGAGCCAAGTTACATAGAGCCAAGTTACATAGAGCCAAGTTACATAGAGCCAAGTTACATAGAGCCAAGTTACATAGAGCCAAGTTACATAGAGCCAAGTTACATAGAGCCAAGTTACATAGAGCCAAGTTACATAGAGCCAAGTTACATAGAGCCAAGTTACATAGAGCCAAGTTACATAGAGCCAAGTTACATAGAGCCAAGTTACATAGAGCCAAGTTACATAGAGCCAAGTTACATAGAGCCAAGTTACATAGAGCCAAGTTACATAGAGCCCCAAGTTACATAGAGCCCAAGTTACATAGAGCCAAGTTACATAGAGCCAAGTTACATAGAGCCAAGTTACATAGAGCCAAGTTACATAGAGCCAAGTTACATAGAGCTAAGTTACATAGAGCCAAGTTACATAGAGCCAAGTTACATAGAGCCAAGTGGCACAGAGCCAAGCGACAGAGCCAAGTGGCACAGAGCCAAGGTTAGGTAGAGCTTGCGTAGAGCTTCGGCGTTAGCAGCTATGTAAGTTAGTTTAGGTTTCTATGGCGCCGGGGCGGGAGTTTGTTCGTCGCTCGGGATTGTGACCCTCTGCGGAGATTCGCGTGGTCGAGGTTAAAAAACTTAGGACTTTTTACGATTTCTGCGGTCCGCGCGCGACCTTCTGCAGAGATTCGCGTGGTCGAGGTTCAAAAACTGAGGACTTTTCATGATTTTTAGCATGCGCGTGCGACCTCTGCGGAGATTCGCGTGGTCGAGGTGCAAAAACTGAGGACTTTTTACGATTTCTGCAAGCCGCGCGCGACCCTGTGCGGAGATTCGCGTGGTCGAGGTTCAAAAACTGAGGACTTTTTACGATTGCTCAGGCTGGAAAATCGCAACTTTTAAGTACAAACGTAGTACTCCGGCTGGAAAATCGCAACTTTTAAGTACAAAAACAGTACACGAAGTGCATTCCCGCAGCTCCGGCAGCACTTGCGCAGAGCAACTTGCGCAGAGTCACTTACGCAGAGCAACTTGAAAACTTGCGCAGAGCAACTTGCACAGGGCAATTGCACAAAGCACTTGCGCAGAGCATCTTGCACAGACCAACTTGCACAGAGCACATGCGCAAAGCGCTTGCACGGAGCAACTGGCGCAGAGCCCTTGCGCAGAGCAACTTGCTCAGAGCACTTGCGCAGAGCAACTTGCACAGAGCACATGCGCAAAGCGCTTGCACGGAGCAACTGGCGCAGAGCAACTTGCACAGACCAACTTGCACAGAGCACATGCGCAAAGCGCTTGCGCGGAGCAACTCGCGCAGAGCACTTGCGCAGAGCAACTTGCTCAGAGCACTTGCGCAGAGCAACTTGCACCGAGCACTTGCGTGCAGCAGCTTGCAGAGAGCCTGGAACAATGCAGCTTGCGCAGACCACTTTCGTGAGAAATCGCGCGGCGCAGTTCGAGAGGAAAGTAGGATGATGAGATGGAGCTCTCATGTGACCACACACACTGAGCATCGCCGCGCGCAGACACGCTCGCCGCAGCGATGTAAAAAGGTGTCTCCGCGGCTGGATGAGCACCTATGGAAAAATGCTTTCGGGCCAATCGTCCACTAGTTTCTTCCAATGTTTGCTTCACTTCTTACTACCGATGAAGCCAACAGGTGGCCGAACTCTGCTTTTGCAACGACCAGCTCCAACAGGGGGATGCCTTAAAGATCCCGAAACAAGCGGTCCAGAATCCTTTTGTAGGAGCTCTTGGGATTCAAGAACCTGTTATCCTTGGCGAGCCACAAATCAAGGGTTAACCGATGGTGGCGAGGGAAGGTTAGGAAAGGAATAGCCGGTTCTCTTCATCCGGCATCTATTCACGGGTAATAAGTTGGTGACGGTAGGAATCACCTCACTCACCAGTCATTTCTCTCTTCTTGGCTGGGTTTCTTCATGCCTTAATTCCCTCTGCAAATGTGGGCTGCTGAGTGTCCATAGTGGCCTGAGGCATGCCCAAATTGTTCTTGCCAGTTGGGCGTGAAGCGGCAACATCGACGGTCCAGCCTGCGCTTGTAGCTCCGGAGAAGCGATAAACAACAACAACGCTGCCATTGCCAGATCCACATTTTGCCATTCTGCTCTTTATCGTGTTTAATAATTTCCCTTTTGGCCGGTGATTCTTTTCAACCATTGTTCTTTTCAAAAACCAGCCATTGTCCCTGCGTTTCTGAAGGTTTTCAGCAAAGAAGGATTCCTGGAAAGAATTCAAATGGAAGGTAGCCCAATATTTTTTGTCGGACAACTGCAGGGTTTGGCCAGTTGAGTCCGAGGTCACGGACGCGGCCCTGGAGATCCTGTCTGCCGGCAGCCCGCTGCTGCAGGCTCTTTGGCTCAGCTGCTCCGCACAGGTCTCGGCCGGTGCGGCCCCTTGGCGAAAAGATCCGCCATTCACCCTGACGACCATAGCTGCAGTTCTTTCCAGGGAAACCTCCGGAAACGGATCCGGTTTTTAAAACGAACGATGGTTGAAAAGAATGGACATGGAATCAACCCTTAGAGTAATTCTGTGGATGGAGATTGTGCGCCCCAGTTGATGGGGGGAGAACAATGAATCGCCCTGACCTCACAGGAAAGTGTCCCAGCCCGACCCGAAACGCAGGACTGGCTTGTAGGACCAATAGGTGTCGCTAGTGGGGAAAAATGGAGTCGGGGGGAGGTGGAATTCCAGGTTGGTTCCGTTTTTCCTTCGTAGGGAGGACTCTCCAAACTGCATGGAAAGGAACGTGCCCTTCTTTTTCTTGGGCGCTTTGCCCAACAAGCTTCCCTGGTTTAAGCTTCCGAAGTGGCGCAATTCACATTTGTGCCACGGACGGACGGCGTTTTACTTGGCATTGGCGTGGAAAACCAAGGACCTTTTACCAAAGGGCTTGTCACCAAACAGGCTAAGGATGCATTTGCCCATGTTATGGCAAGCTCAGCTGGGGCCTAAGGCAAGCCGAGCTCATCCAATAAGCTCCTTCACTCGGCGCTCCATTTCGTATTTGGGTATGAGTCAAATTAAACCACGAGGGAACCGCAGGTTTTCGCCCATGTTTCCATTTACCAGGGTTCTATATTAAGTACCTTTTCTTGACGCACACCCATTTCAGGGTTGGGATCCTCGCCAACTCGGGACGTTTGTGACCGGTGAGGTCAGGAAGCTGGCGATCTCCGCTTTGCAGCTCCAGGCGCCCGATTTGTTGTTTTTTGTGTGTCGGGCTGGTTGAGGCGGATCCAGACGCACCACAGCTTTTGGACAGGATCTCCCGAGAGCTTATCTCTAGGAGCCTTCCCCGTTCTTTCCAGAAATCCTGCTTTTCAGGAAGCCATCAAAAACTCAGGAACGATGGTTGAAAAGAATGGAAGAGGAATAACCCCTAGATCAGCACATTTGCAGGGGCCAGGAAGGAGCGGATGACCGGCCGCCAAATTCACACCTTCAAGGGTCGATTTGGGAAACGCAGGGTCTCATGTAAGCCAATTCAACTCAGGAAGTTAGAAATTGACCAGAAGATAAGTGCAGCAGCAGCAGGAGTAGAGGCACTATGTAGTAGCAGCAGTAGTAGTAGCAGTAGTAGTAGCAGCAGCAGCAGCAGCAGTAGTAGTAGTAGTAGTAGTAGCAGTAGTAGTGGAATTTGAATATTTCCGTTTGCCAACGAGTCCCAACAGTTGTGCTCATGTTTGGCATGCAGCCATTTTTAACTTATTTGGTTGTCACATTCATGGTGATGGATCATGCTCTGTATAATTTGAATCATTTTTCAGGCTGTATGCAAAAAAACATCACGACCCAACCAGGAGGTGAAATGAGATAAACAACCTCACGAAGGCTTCGTGAGGATGCCCTTTTTTCGGGCAAGTGAAGTGCAACCCTTCCCCCGAAAACAAAGAACACATGGAGGTGCACAGACGCTTTAGGAAAGACACTGCAGTCCTTGAGCCATGTCAGTTTGGTGCGGGGGTTGACTTCTCCAAACAAATAGTTGGCATTGCAAAGGGAAGCAAAACACACAACCAGCTTCCATCAGCCCAAAAGAGCTATCTTATGATTCAAAGAGAAACCCCTTGTAAAGGCAAGCCAAGGCAAACCGGCAATCTTCGCTCCAATTTGGGTCACGGACTTCTCGCGGGTGCAGGACCTGCGGCTGGATAGCTTACGCTCTGCCTTTGCAGGGGATTTCAAGGCGCGGGATGCTTTTCTTGGATCCCTTGCAGTCGTTGCATTTTGAGGGGTTCTCTGAATATCTGTTGATGTTGACACCACTTAGAGAGTATTTTGGTTGACAAGGGGCCCAATTTTCTCACTTCTGGCGACAGGGAACTGCTCCATGGATTCAACCACAGTTGGGACCAACGGGGTTGTCCCATTTCCAACAAGGATCCTTCAATTCGGGGAGAGACACCCTCCTGTAGCAGTCCGCCAGGTTGACTACTCCGAATGGACATTGCCCCCTGCAAGTGGAGCAATAGTCATGGGTAAGGCCTTCCAATACTAGCACAGCACTCGCCGCAACTCCCAATGTTCAAGGAGGTTCTGGCGATGCCGCGGCTGCAGTGCGTGCTGGTGGCGGATGCCGTGCAGCGCGGCGCCCACGGATCGCTGGGCTCCAGGGTGGATATTGACGTTTGGGCTTCGGGTCGCGTTGTTCCTTTACCCTCTGACGCCAGAGAATGACAGTGCTGCTGGTGATGACTCTGCTGATAAGGAGAAGGATGCTGATGCTGATGACATTGTCGGAGACACTGGGGATGAGTGTGATGAGGAGAATGGGGAAAAGGACGATGATGACGATAACGATGGTGCAGGAGGAGGACGATGAATGACGACTGTGATGCCCATGATGGGTTGTGGTGATGATGAGGATGGTCTTGCGAAGATGATGCTGGTGATGATGAGGATGAGGATGGGGATGAGGACAATGCCGGCAATGCTGCTGATGACGATGATTGGTGAAGCTGATCGTGATTGCGGTGATGGTGAACATGATTTTGATGCTGTTGTTGATGCTGATGAGGGTGGTGACGATGATGACCGCGATGGCGCAAGCGACACTTGCCTCTATCGCAGTCTTCTAAGCGCAGCTGGCTGTTGGCTCATAGGGGTCGGGTCCAATCAACAAATGTGAGCCACACAAAGGTCATGGGCCTTACTTTCTGATTTCCGCACCGACAGCAAGGGGTTGACAAAGCAGCCTCGCATGCTTCGGGCTTGAGGTTATGAAGGTTTCACCCGCGGGAATGGGTGGTGGACATCATTTCCACGCTGAATGATGTTGAAGTTTTGAGCCTGTTGATCTTGCATAGTTTGTTGTTTTGCCACCCATTTTTCTCCAGTCAGTCAACTCGGAGCGTGCCGTTTCCAAGGTTGCCCCCCGTGCTTTCTGCTTCAGATGTGCAGCGATGGCAAGCACCATGGCGATCTTTTAGAGTCACGTGAATGAAAGGGGCAGCAAACAGCCTTGTTCTGCACCTCACATGATCAAAGCACATCAAACCACATCAAACCACAAGGGTGCAAAATTTGGCATGCCCTTTTGGTTTGTTCTGGCTCGCTAATTTTCGAGGCTCGGGTCTTTGGAGCGCTGGCAAACCCCATCGTCCCTGCATCGCAGGACCGAGACACACACGGCTGTGGGTCAAAGCTAAACCAACAGGGGGACCGCAGATTTTGATCCATGTTTCCTCTCACCAGGGTTCCGTTTTGGGTACCTATTTTTGACCCACCACACCAACCTGAGCTCCATGTGGACTAGCCAGGAACTTGCTCTGGCACGCAGTCAAGCCCACCTGACGTCCTCCCCAACGTTCTCGATTTGCAGATATGGGTGTGGCTCAAAATTAACGAGCTGGGGTTACGCAGGTTTTGGTCTTTGTTTCCATCCAAGGGGCGCAAAAATTGGCACCACCTTTTTGAGCCACAGCCATACTTGGAGCAAACAACAAGTTTGAACCGGCCTGATATGGCACCTACACCTACCCCGAGGCCACAATAGATCCATTCCAATTCACTGCACGCCAACCTGGAATCCCCAAATACCCCCGCAGCATGATGAAAGCCACCAAAAAACGCTTCACCCATAAGCGGAACCTAAACCCACCCACCCGCACAAACGTAAAGCAAGCCCTAGCCCACAAATCCACCCTGAACTGACTTAGAACCCGTTTGGTGAACCCGTTTCACCTCTCAAGTATCGTACCGTTAACACAGTCGCTTGGATTGCCTGTGCCTCAAAAAGTGGTATGCTTTGGGATTGTCAGGCCCGCATACATTCCTTTGGGCCTGGTGCTGGGCTGGAGCTTAGGCGATGCGGCGCTTGGCCATTCTGATCGAGGCTCGGATCGAGTGAGACGAAGCAGTTCGCAACCCGGGGTAGGACAACCGTGTACATTGGACTCGAAAGTTGGCCGGGGAGATCCTCAGGAATGAAAGGGGGAGGGATGGGAGGGTGTGGCCCCGGAATTCCATTTGTGGCACAAGCTTGTTCGAAGACTGCCGGAAGTTGCAGGCTCAAGTAGAATCGGCGAGTGGAAAGCTTCTTGTTGAGTACAAGGGGTCCGCCCTACCACTCAGGAGTAGCATGGACAGGGATATCAACTGACTGACCCCTACAAATGGTTGCTGTTTCCGCAGTGAAGCATACAACCGCCCACAACGGTCGCTTGTTTTGGAAACGCGCTATTGGCACCCACCAAAAAAGCTTGGCGATGGGCGTTGCTGCCGTTGTCGGAGGTCCAGCCATCTATTTCCATTCGTGAGCAAGACACATCAACCTTTGAAGGTGCTCCTGGTTCTCCCTTCCACTTGAGCCACATGAAAACCCGGGTAGATGAAGGCTCGTAAGGGGCAGTCCCAGCCAGAAATAGTTGCGGCCTCCTTAATTCTTTACATGGGTCGTAAGTCATTTGAATACCGGGTTTTGAGTTTGACTCAATTGAAGGTTTGAAAGTTTTTCTTCCGCTCGGCCCTTCAGGCAGGGTGCCCGATTTGCCCCAGCCGGCCGCTGGACCACTGGGCGGCGGAGGCTTTGGGGCAGCTGCCCTGCCTGGAGTCCTTGGCCTTGGCCAACGTTTGCGCGCCTCGACTTTGGGGAGAAAACGGAAGGCGTGCCTCGAGTTGTGTCCATGGGTCAAAATCCAAATCAGCCATGTGTGTTGTCCTGCTGGTCTTGTTTAAATCCAACCTGAAACAGGTACCCGGTGGAAAGCTCAGAGACTTCTCTTGAAGGCACCCATTTTGGCAGTTTCTCAACATGGTGAGCCTTCGGCTTGGTATTCAGAGCGAGCCCAAAGGAAATCAACCATTTTCATTCATTCCCGAAAGCATGGCGACGGGTTCTTCCGCTGGGTTCACTTGAGTTGTTCTCATGAGAGTCATTACAAGGTGTCATTGCAAGGAATCATCATCATGAAAGTCATTGCAAGGAGTCATTGCAAGGAGTCATTGCAAGGAGTCATTGCAAGTTGCGAGGAGCCAAACTTGCACAGACCAGCTTGCACAGAGCAATTTGCGCAGAGCAACTTTGACAGAGCAACTTGCGCAGAGCAACTTGCGCAGAGCAACTTGCACAGAACAACTTGCACAGAGTCAGTTGCACAGAGCTTCTTGCACAGAGCAACTTGCACAAAGCAACTTGCGCAGAGCAACTTGCACAGGGCAACTTGCACAGAGCAGCTTGCACAGAGCAATTTGCGCAAAGCACCTTGCCCAGAGCAACTTGCGCAGAATGGTCACGGGGCTGTGATGCTTTCGGGCCAACCGTGGTCTAGTTTTTGTGGAAAGCCACATGCAGGGAGACAACAAGCACCAGCAACCGCCCAGCAAACCAGCACGCCAACACACCGACAAAGCAACGGACCACCACGCCAACAAACCAACAAACCAAACGCGCGCACACGCACATCCAACACAGAGCTGAGCCGATCAGGCCACTTGTTATCTGACTCAACTGGCGAAGATCCCGGGACCATAATTTCCCGGCCACTGGCGTATTCCATCCCCGGTCGCGATGGCCCAGCCCCAAACCTGATTGGTTGCCGAGCTTTGTGTTAGATGCTCGCAGGGGGTTTTCTAGAGCAGTTGCTCGCCCAACGACGTAAAGATGAAGCATTGCACGTTGGACTGCTCAGAGCATTTTCGTTGGATAGTATACTCATCCCGAATAGAAATGGTGAGGTGTGAACTGTTGTTCGTTGGCTCCTTTGTTGGACATCATTGCCATGCGGACCCACGGCCTCCCACCATGTTGGTGGGTGTTCCCCATTCACACCCAAATGCTGATGTGCAGTAAAACTCCTTTTTTCAGTTTGGCCGGCACACTGTTCAGACATCAATGCCAGTTTTGGTCACAGCCGGCGTCATACCACCCAAGAACACTTGCTTGGGAAGGACTAAGATGGACCAACACTGGAAGCTGCTTTCATTTCAGGGAGCCACAGGTGGGAGACCACCTGCTGCAAGCTCTCCACGGGTCTGTGACTTTGTGCGCTCTGTCCTTGGAGGGTGATCATGGGGCTACGCTGCCAGGCATGGCTGCACGGTTCGGTGCCGGAGGTCCTGATATTCGCCCTGTAGTCTTTCTTTTTTGTGTGTGTGTCTTTTGGCATCACGTTCGGACAATATGTAAATGAGTTCGCTTTTGGCCGGCTTGCGCAAGACAACCATGGGCAACTCAGCGACAAGGGATGGACTTCAACTCCTTTGCACGGTGCCAGGCAGTCGATTGCCTGACTTGGCCTTGAACCGTGCATGGTTTGGTAGGTTTGTTACCTTTCGCAGCACTGCCAGGCTGGGTAGATCAGCGGGATGCAAACTGAATCAGAGCTTTGGCATTATGCGTTTTGGTGCTGGCAGGCCTTTCTCGTAGCCTGTTTGTGTAGAACGCCACTGCGTGTTTCGATGTTCAGCCTTTCTCTTTGGGAACGCAACGGCCCAAGAAGCTTAACTTTGTTACATTGTTTGTTTAAATTCAATCCAGAATCATTATGCCTGGTGGCAATTTCCTTGTAGGCTCCCACTACGAAGTACGGCAAATTGGATTAGCCTCGTGCAGTTGCCCGCGTGAAATGGGTTGGCGAATGAACACATTACGCGTATGAGCAGTTAATATTCAGCACCCTTAGTACGGGGTGCAATGCACATTCGAACCTTGGGGTTGCCTACCAAATGTCCATAGGCGGAATGAGCTCAATTGTCCAAAGTCAACCGTTTTTTTTCCCGGTTTGCCTCGAAATGGTTGAGGTGGAGGATTCAAACGGTTTCTGCAAAAAGCTTCCCCTCTTGATGAGACGGGAGAAAGTGCAACATTGAGCAAGCAGTAGTGTGGATTCTTTTCCGACCAGGGTCACTGGGAAATTGATTGCGTCGCCCCTGCATAATTGCAATGTTTGCAGCGCGGCCACTGCATGTTGATACCTAGAACTTCCTGCGGCGGAAATTTCTGCCGCAACGCATTGCTGCGGAAATTCCTGCCGCATTCCAGAAAATCAGCCGCAAACAAACAAAAACGCCGCAACCAAACAAAAACGCCGCAACACTGCTTGCTTTCCGGGAGTTTCCGCCGCATTCCCGCCGATTTCCGCCGCATTCCCGCCGATTTCCGCCGCAAATCGGGGGGTAGAAAAAACTGAAAACAAGTTCTGCCGCAATTCTAAAAAAACGCCGCAAATCAGGAAGAAATGCCGCAAATCCAAAAAGGCGCCTTTTTTGAATTGCGGCAGAAATTTCTGCCGCAACGAATCTCTAGGTATTGTAGGGATGGACAGTTTAACACTCTGCGCGGAGGGAAGCCGTTTGTTCCGCAAGCGATGGCTTTGTACTCCTTGCACTTTGGGATTTGCCTGCGCGCTTCGCAGGCATTTGTGGACTGCTGCGGGCGCGAGGACGCGAGAATTGGGCCTCAACTATAAGACTTTGACTTGCTGCAACCTACTGTTCCGTTCAGAGCTGAACTCTGCCTTGAGTCGTTTGTGTTTCAGCATTGGACGTGTAAACGCTGATGGGCTGCAATATCTTGCCCCTGTGACCCTCTTTCTTTAGATGTAGTTGCAATGCAGGACGTGCCGGCGCTGGCCTGCTGGAAGAGCTGCAGCTGACAGCAG